CTTGAAAAATCTAAAATATTAAATTATAAGTATATGTAAGTTTGAAGTAGACTTTAGAAACAAAAGACAGAATGTAAAAGTGATGAAATAAACAGGAATAGTTAAATATTTCTTTATAAAGTAATTTCTATTTGATGCGTTGTTTTTTCCCGAGAGTCTTCTTAGTTTGAGCGCCAACAATGTGTTGTGCATCTTCATGTGCAGCCACCTACCGTTATTGACATTATAAAAGAGTCGTTATACCGTTATTAATATAATTTTGTAAATAATATGTAATTTTGTACGTGTTTTTAGGCTATTGAAACACATCATACCTGAATTTTTGACATTGTGATAAAGTCACACAATTCGGATATAGAAACACTCTCCATTTTCATAACCGTATGGATCGGTTCCTCAATTTTTAATGCGATGTCGATGTTGTCTTTAAACCTACGGAAAATAGTACAATATATGAGCATAACATATTGATAAACGGTATATAAATAATAATTTATGAGATATACATGTTGATAAATGTTCTGTTCGCGTCGACTTCATCGTCGAAGAAAAATCTGGAAGCTGATGTGGTGTTAAGAAATAATGACCCTACAAAAAATATTTAAGAAATTTAAACAAAAAAGGAATGCATATATTTTTTATGGTGTTCTTCAGCTGTTTTATTAATAATAAAATATAATATAAAAAATATATGAAATCTATTTAGCGTTAGTATACGATTAAGAAAAAAGTACGTCTTCTGTACTTTATTTTTTGAAAAAAAAAAGCAGAAATACAAACAAAAATATCAAAAACAAATGTAACACTTGTTTGAAGAATTTATAAATAGTGAAAGATACAACATTTCAAATATTTATATACCTTGCCATCTGTAAGTCGATAACAACTATTTGCTTGGTTAACAAATGTTCATTGTGAGTATCTCTAATACTTCGGACACGACCAATGACATCTTTGGTAAGGATAGAAAAATATAAAAATTAGTAATGTTTAATAAATAATTTAATAATTTATGAGGAAAAATGTACCGATAATATGTTATGTCAACGCACCTGGTAATTCTTCATTTTTGTTAGCCAAGGCAACCAGTTCGTCATAGTCGCGGAACCTAAAAATCTCCTTAGGTATCACAACAGCGGTATCATCAACTTCTAAAATATTAATCCGTTCAGTGAAACGAAGAGATAACTTGAAATCAGTTAGCTTGAAGAGGTCGTTGGCTCTAACAACATCAAAATCAGTTAGAAGATAAACTGCTCATTCACGCAACATATCTTTGAAGCGACTCAAACGTTGTCGGTTTATAGATCCATGAATAACAGTAGACTATAAACCGATAAGCAAAAAAGGTAAAGGAAATAATCAGTAAAAATAAAATAACATTATTGTGATAATAAGTAACAAATAAAATTTTAAAAGGTATCATAATGTGTGATATACCTCTTTGTGGATCAGAAGAAAATCAATACTCATAAGTTCACCATCTTTCTTGACATTTTGAGCCTCCCAAAACCGTAACAATCGACAAACAATTAGTTGCATTGGACGACCAACGCGTAGTTCAACAAACATCAGACATGAGGAAAGGAAATCATTTGGAGAGTCAGCCATGGGTTAAAGGGAAAAAAGTAAGCTAAGGATGTGAAGAGGAATCCAAGGACAACACACACTTGGAGATTTGTAATAGTGGAGATTTGTAATAAAGCGGATGTGACAGAGCTTTTGTAGATATAGGGTCCACTCAACATCTATATATAATAATGGAGATTTGTAATAAAGTGGAGCTTTCAATCCGTCATAGACTCTTGGAAACTTTGTGAAATAAAAAATAATAATTGGCCCATAATCTATTAATTGGATAGTTATTTCAAAAGCGTTAGTGTTATTTTTAAGACGGTAACCTCCACATTCATGTAGACATTTAATCAAATGTTAATCACATTTAAATTTAATAATTGAATGTAATGACTCGCTGGCAGTAGTGGATTAGTGGGAAGCCTCCATTAGTGCATTAGTGGATGAATGAAAAAATAACGGAAAATGTAATGAAAAACATTAAAAACTCATTAACTACTTAAAAGGTGGAGTGTGCATATATTGGTATTAAATACCAACAAATTTTTATTATAGCCATGATTATGATTATAATTATTTTTATTTTTTAATTATAAACCAACATAAGATGAACACAATCCTATACATAAATTGAACAAAATATATATATACGTATATGTATATATATATACGTAAACGCTTTTTTTTAATAAGGATATAGTAAATATCTTTTTTATATACTCAATTAGCATACAATATTAGAAAATAAAAATTAGAAAGAAAAATGGTTATTATAAAAAGAGAGAAAATGTTTTTATTAAATGATAAATATAAATTTAAATAAATGTCACATATGATGAAAAAGCTTTTGTTAAAATATTTTTTAAGTGTCCTAAATATTTAGTGGGTTTTCCATTTTTTTGTAATACGCCTTTTATAATTGTAAATAATTATTATTAATAAGTGATAATCTAACCAATTTATATGTAGTTTAAAAATGGTTATTTAAAAAAGAGAGAAAATGTTTTTATTAAATGATAAATAAAAATTTAAATTAATGTCACATATGATGAAAAAGCTTTTGTTAAAATATTTTTTAAGTGTCCTAAATATTTAGTGGGTTTTCCATTTTTTTGTAATACGCCTTTTATAATTGTAAATAATTATTATTAATAAGTGATAATCTAACCAATTTATATGTAGTTTAAAAATGGTTATTAAAAAAAGAGAGAAAATGTTTTTATTAAATGATAAATAAAAATTTAAATTAATGTCACATATGATGAAAATGCTTTTCTTAAAATATTTTTTATGTGTCCTAAATATTTAGTGGGTTTTCCATTTTTTTGTAATATGCCTTTTATAATTTTAAATAATTATTATTTTTATATATAGAGTTTAGTGATAATCTAACCAATTTATATGTAGTTAATGAGTTTATAAATGATAAATAAAAGATTGAAAACAAAATGCCACATGGATAATGACATGGAGATGAAGTGGCTTCACCAAATATCTCCAAATCCAACTTTTATAAATATAGATTTTCATAGCACTTGTTTAATAATCATAGATTCTCAAAATCCAACGCTTCCTGTCTAGGTTAAAGATGGAATTAGATACATTAATTTTCTAAATTGAATTTTAAATATATATATATATATATATATATATATGTGTGTGTCTATATAAAGGTCAGTACTACGTAATAGGCCTCTTTCATTAATGTTTTGGGCTCATCAAAGCCCACTTGCGGCCCATTAAGATGAACTTCTCGAAGTAAGTCGGGTTTAACCGAATTGTTCAATTTATTCCAACGTAACCGTGATATATAATTCTACTTTCTAAATACAAAAGATCGAATTTGAATAAAAAAATAATTGAAAAACCAATATTTGAATAATTATATATGTTATCGATTTAATAATAAAAATCTAGTCCCGGTAGAAATTGCGGTCCAGTGGGATCGAGCACAGAGCGAGATTTGGTTCCCAATAAGATCTGGTCTTGGGCCCTTTTTATTATATATGGGTCTTCCGGCCCATTAGGACAATCGGAAACTTGTAAACGATTTCAAATTTCAAAATCCATTGTTGGACCAATGGAAGGAAAGAACAGAGGACCGACGGGAATTTCATGGCGGGAAGTGATACGCAGCAACAGCCTCTCTCTGATCAGCGACTTTGCTTCTGCGAAATACGGAGGAGGTAAGTAAGATATTCCGCTTGTTTCTCCCTGTTTGTTTCTCGAGAAAATTTCTAGAGGTGTCTGATTGGTAAGCGTTGAAGAATCGGCAGAGTAGAAGCCCAAACTTGAAAATTTAGGATTGAATCGGTTAGATGCTAGAGCCAGATATTTCAGCATTTTGGTCTCAGCAATCGAATAATTTAGTATTGAGGCGTTGATTTTCCATCATTCGATAACCTGACGAGGATTCTCCTGACTCTTTGCAGTTTTTCAATATAGAAAAACTATTGGTTAGATTGAAGTAGTTGATCTAAACCAGAACTTGAAGGAGCGAGGATTAATATTGAAAGTGTTGAAGCAGATCAAATAAATGACTGAGAAGGAATTCATTTCCTTTGAACAAATCTAAGATTCAGTTGTTAGAGCTATCCATTTTTTATGTACTGTCTTAAAAGTGTAAACTATATTCCTTATTTTCAGTGATTTGGTGAGGTTTTGTAATAAACCAGACTGTTCTTAGGAAAGGATTGCTCTTGTTCATGAAGGAATTTTTGCCGTTGGTATCGAGATTGATTCTCATACGGTACGTAAAATGCTTACATTGTATTATATTTGAAATCATTTGGTTATTCGACTCACAAAAGGTTTGCATAAGCGGTCAGCTTATCGTTTCCGAGCTTAAAACTTAGAAGCATCGTGAAACTTCTTCAAGAAGATCAAGTTAGTTGATTGTTTCCGTCTATTTCGTTTTCGAAATCTCGTGCAAGATTCTCTTTTTCTCAAAATGTTTTTTAAGATTTTGGAACAAAGAGGTTGAGACTTAATACTACTCTTGGATAGTTGGCACTCAAGCCTAGATATTCCACTTCTTTGGTTGTCCTGAAACACATTTCCGATCTTTACAAAAATCTCAAAACCAAGAAACGATGTTGTTATATCAGCATGTGCTTTATTGGTCTCTGAACTGATTTTACATCCAGATAAAGAATTATCTACTCTAAATCTTTGATTATGACCTTCAAAGTATTTTCTACCTCTCCTATTCATTACAAGAAGCTTTGTTTTAAGAGTTTATACTATATTCTTTAAGTGTAAGTCTACACAGTCAGAATAAATTCTCTAACACCATACTTGAAACTGCAGATTGCGCTGGATTCCAAGTAGTAAATGGACCGAGTTGTTGAAGTTGAGTTGGGGTCTGTCTCTGAGGAAACTGTGCCTGAAGACCAATGTTGTAGTTACCGGTCATGATGCTGAAGTCATTCGCAGGTTGAACCCCGATATCCTAGCGGCACAGAAAAGTTTAAGTGATCTCCCACACAGCCGTTGTTGCTGGCCATAACACTACTGAAGCCATTCGCATGTTGAACCCCAATATTCTGGCATGCTTGTGGCCCAACAAAGGTTGAATGGTCATCCATGTTCATGCCCATGTACCCGTTGTTACTGCTCATGATACCACAGAAGTCATTCACAGGTTGAACCCCGATATTCTGGCATGCTTGTGGTACAATAAAGGTTGAGTGATCTCCCATGTTCATGCCCATATAGCTATTGTTACTGATCATGATACTACTGAAGTCATTCACAGGTTGAAACCCAATATTCTGGCGTGTTTGTGACACGAGAAAGGTTGAATGATCTCCCACGTTCATGCCCATGTAGCCGTTGTTGCCAATTTGGCCACTGATCTCCGTCCCCAAAAACTCAGAATTAGAAAGCCAGGTTTCGCTGAGGTAATCGAAGGGCGCATCCGACAACATAAATGCCTGGTGGTTTCCTTGGAGACCCGATGGAATCGCAGGTTCTTGATTTTCTTGATCGCGAAAAAGGTTTCTGCTTTGGTTTTCCTCGGCATTCTTCTTCTGTTTTTGCGTTCCCAGAAACCGAAGCCTCTCCTGAAGGGTCTTCATCTCGCGTCCCAAATTATCCCCGAGCTCCGACAATTTTTCAGCGGACAAAGCATCGAGCTTTTGGGTATTGAGTTCGAAACCCTTCTCTGTCTTCGTTTTTGGTAAACAACCCTTCTCTGCCTTCCCCCGAAGTTCGGACAAATTCAGGGATTTCTTTCGTTTCTTGGTGTCGTTCTGTTTCATGTAATTGACGGCCAATTCTCTCACCTTGGACAAATCTCTGGGCCATGTCTGAAGCTCTCCGTCTTGTCCGTAACAGATAACGGCCACTTGGGTTCCGCAGAGAGTCGAGAGTTCTTCGGCCTTCTTCATCACCGTCAGCTGTCTCCTTTGGAAACTCGACTTCTTCCTCTGATCGTTCGACGGAGGCGGAGAAGAGACAGAGGAGCTCGTCTTTCTCTTCCTTGAAGATGAAATTGAGGAGGGAGAAGAAGCCATCCTGGAGAGAGAAACTGAGTTGCGATTCTTTCGGAAGAAAAACGATGAGATCGGAGTCAGAGCGATAGCGATGGAGAGAGTGAAGTAGAGAGCGAAGTAGAGAAATGGTAACTCTGAAGAGGTACGTCTTATATATATATTAGAAAACGCGTTTAATCTATTTTTTTTACAGGTGGAGATCTTTTTTTTTTAAATAAAATTTTGTTATTAATAATATTTTTTATCTAATTCGAATTCCGTTCGGATTTCTCTAATTTGATTTTTTATAAAAAAATTCACAAACCAATCGAACCCAAAATTAGATTCGGCTCATATATATATATATATATATATATATATATATATTATTGTCATTTCCTCGCGATACTCTCTATTCTCAAATATGTCGGTTTATTTCATTAAAGAAAAATAAGAATGTTATAATTTATATTGCACATTTGGGATATATTTTCCACATTAATGAATGGGGTTAGTCATACAATTGAATATACCATAATCACCATCCACTAATTAAACCAACAATCACACCTCTAATTAATGGAGTTGAATATATGCTCTCATAATTGGTACAAATATATATCATATATCATATATATACATATATATATTTATAATTCAAATTCGCTCAAAGGTTTACATCACATACAAACCACAAGGTAGAGAATCAGAAAACAAGAATTCATTAATTGGAATTACATAATTTGTTCAGGTGCGCATCTACCTGTTTTCTGCATGTTCTTTCTGAAATGTGGGCAAACTGTGTTGTTCTATGTGCTTTGTTCTTCAGTATTTCCCGCTTGGCTCTTAAGCGGAGGATGAAACGATGATGAATGATAGTTGGAATGATGGATGAGATACTAACGCCCTCTGTTTCGTAAGAAAGTTCCTTTTTGTGTGCATGTGCATGTTGTAGATAGATATATATATCTGCACATAATGTATCCTTACGTCTGGCGATTTATCCATCTATGTATGTATGTATGCATGCATGTATGTATGCATGCATGTAGATTCTCTCGACTTCTAGGCAGCTGCTTCCAAACTTGATACGACATGTCATCCACTCACTCTATTCTTTTTTTTTTCTTTTTTTTAAGAAAACATTGTATTCTTAAAATGCCAATTCTCATTTCATTTAAAACCTTTTATCAGAAAAAGGAAACATAATAATTCGGCTTAAAATGTTATGAACTGATCATATCCCAAAGTAACACAGAACTAGCTCTGCCCTTTAATTAAAATGTACGTATTTTTGCATGTAATATTACGTATTTTAATATATGTGTAAAACAATACGATTTCAAACTTTTCCCAACATCAATTTGGTATACTAGTTTATATATATATATGTATAATACGAGGTGACGATAGTAATGACATGTCGCCTTACTACAACTTTCTCAACGTCTTTTGCTAAAAATTAAATTACACATGTAAAGTGGTATATCATTTAAATATGAGCTTTATTTCCGTCCTTGTATGTATATTGCACGTCTACACATGAATAATCTTTTCCTTTTTTTTTGCGTGTAAAGGAACTAAAAATTCATATACATTTTTAATATTTCCACACATTTTATATATATATATATAAAAGAAACGGATGACAGGTTGGTAAAATAGAGGTCGCTCGGTACACCTGGTCCGGACACGACAGAGATGGAATGTGTTTGCTTGTTTGCCACTTGTCCCATTTAATTTATTATTTGTGTAATCAAATCAATGGTCCATTTTTATTTATTTTTTCCCCTGTTTTGTGTTCCCTCTTACAAAATTGGACATGTCCTTATCCACCCTTATAAACCCTCCCCAGAAAAAATTGCCTACGAAAATGTAAACGTATGGCACTACCAAAGGCCAATAAGAATGCATGAATACTAAAAACATCCCCATTACTCGAACACCTGCCCAAACAATTTGCAAAATTAGCTAAAATCACATCTTTTTATATTGGTTATCGATTTAAAAAAATACAATCTTTTTTTATTCTTTTCTATAATCTAGAAATTCACAATTTCTTTTTACCCAACTATATCGTCCAAAGATTGGGTTTCCCTTTTAATGATTCGAAAAAAAATATAATCGAAAAAAAAAATATGATCTTTTTTTCGATAACAACGTCAATAGAGATCAATTGTCTTGCACATGAGTAGAATACGATTATTACATCATGAATCAAACTGCGAAATCATATATATACATATACATATATATTAGGGGTGTCAAAATGAGTTCGGCTCGCGAAGTGGCTCATGGCTCGGCAGAAAACGAGTGATCTGAGCTGTGATTTTTTCAATTCATTAAAAAACGAGCCTAACGAGTCAGACTCATTGAACACGTATTCAATGAGTCTGGCTCGGCGAACTGTTCAACGAACTGACTTTTATTTTAAAAATAAATTAAATTTATATAAAAAAACTCTAATATAATCTTATATTCTTTTTTTTTTCATATCATTCATATGATATTATAAATATTCTAATTATTATGATGGTGATAAATGAAAATATTAAATGATATTGGAATTTTATTAATTTTTATGTATTTATTTAAATTTATAGTTAAATTTATGATAAATATAAATAAAAAATATTATATATCTCTGGCTCAACGAGTCGACTCGTTCAGATCGGAAAACTGGCGAGCGATCTGAGCCGAGGTTTTTCTGGCTCGTTAGAAAACGAGCCTAATGAGCTGAGTCCAAAACGATCCGAGCCAAATGAGCCGAGTCCAAAACGATCCGAACTGGCTTATTTGACACTCCTAATATTATATATATTAAAATAGGGTTCTCGAGTTAGTTTTCATACGAGAAGAAGAAGACAAGACGAGACGGAAGAGGGATATGGAACGCATAATACGACATGACGTACGCACAAAACCATCCCAAACATCATCCCAATTCGTTTCTTCAACTGCAAATTTTACGGATAAGCTTCACCCCTCACGTTTGGTCGTCCTCGCGCGTGCCTCTCACTCTCCTCTCTCTCTCACAACTCACATATATTATTATTATTATTAATTAATATATACAAAAAAAATAGAAAAATTGCGGGCCACTATTACTTTGGGGTTGGACCTTGGCCCATTTCCCTCAACTTCCTTTTCCCCCTTTATATACATTTATATATATAACATTTTTATATAATTTTTTTTTCTTTTTTTTTTATTATTGGGATTGTCCTCAACAAACTCAATAACAATTGCGCTCCGTATTCGAAGAAGTACCCTCTTCTACGCAAAATGAAACAATACGTTTGTTCAATACACCGTCCTTGACATTATTATCAATTAAATAATGTAATCTTTTTTCAAAAAAGATCTCCTTGTTTTTCAAGGAATAAAAAAAAGGATAATAAATATAATGATTAATGTGGGGGGAGCAACGGCGTCGTTTTGTTATCTTCTTCGTATTCTTCCGTTCCGTCCACTGACTGCGACTCTGGTGAGTATCGGAGCCGTCCATCTCAATCTTCCCTAACCAAACCAGATTTCAACGGCTCAGATCTCTTCGACCGTCTTTTCGCCCTTCGCTACGTCACTTCCTCTTAATTAAACCCCCGTTTTATTATTTCGCTCGAATACGCCTTCTCCATCGGATCTCTCGCTCTCTCTCTCCCCTTCGTTCTTTGCTTGTTCTGTTCGAAGACGGCGAAGGAAAATAGCTCCGAGATAGGTATCGTCGGAGTTTCCCTTTTCTTCCCTCTCACCTTGTTCGTTCGATAACCACGCCAAAAGAGCTGATGATTGTTTTTTCCTCGGTTTTTTTTTTTCGTTACTCGTTGTTGTTTTTGTTTCGGATTGAATTGTGTTTGCCCGAAATTTTCCAGGTTGATGATTAAGTACGTTCGATGTAAATTTTTTCGATGTTTAGTTCCTGGATTACGCTCGTTTTTCGTTTATTCGTTTCGTTTCCTGTTATTGTTGCATATACCATCTTTTTCTCATAACCAGTATATATAATATATACATACGTACATACTTAGGCATACGAGTCTCCATATATGATCTGGTGGGTGATCAGAAATTCGAGAAAGAGTTTCTTTAATTGTCTCTTTCTGTGTGACGGGTTGGTGGCTGCGTATTCCGGATTCTCTGTTTTGATTCTGCGAGTGAGCAAAGTTTTTTTTCCCTTGGAGAACCTGAAATCACGGGAAAAAGGGTCCTTGTGTTTATGGAAAGTCCGTGAAGATCGAATGAGACCTTCCTTTTCTCTTGGGTTAATTATGGGCAGTCTTCTCTTTTGCATTGCCCTTTTTCCTTTTTTGTTTCCTTCAGCCTTTGTTTTATTTCCCTCCACAACCACAGCTTTGTCGGCTTTGTAGCCTTATTTTCATGATTCATCAATTTATAAACACCAAATTCCCACTTCCATGTTGTTCCTGTAAGCCTTTGCGGTTCTCTGTTTTCTTCTAGGCGTGTTATTACTTGTAAATTTCCATGACTTGCTTTTGATTGGTAGCGTGATCATCCGTAATCTTTGACTGTTGTGAAATCTTTGACCATTGCAGTTATGTAATTTGTATCGTTTTCATGTTTATTATCTGATGTAACTTAGGCCTGAATCAATTTATGCAGTGATCTTTCTGGTATGAAGATGTTCGAATGATCTGAAAGGTACTTCTTTTAATTGCAGTGAGAGATTCTCTTAATCATGGATGGATGTTCGGGTAAAAGAACAGCTGATGGGTTGGTTTTGCCCAGAAAAGCAAGCGGTCTTGTTTTGCGAGAGAATATGAACAAGAAAGATGATAAGAATGCCCCAGTTTGCAGCCGAATAGGCTGCACTGCCAGGATAAGCTCCATGAAAGGAACCCAGGTTGGCTCTACGGGCAACAAATCGAAATCTGCTCGGCCTTCACTTCGCTCTTCCTCAAACGGCAAGGAAATCTCCAGGAGTTCTTCTCGGACTCCTATCGGATTTGGCAACACAAAAACCCCTCCCAAAGATACTAGTAGGAAGCAGCTCTCTTCTTCATCTGATGCAGATTCATCAGAGACTTGCAGTGTTCATGATTTACCAGAAACCTACGGGCGCATCCCTCCACGTGGGAAGAGTAAAGGAGGCGCTCTCAGTGTTCATTCTGAAAAAGATGGCTCCGGGAAAGTTGTGTTGGGAGAGGCAGGGAGCTCAAGTAGAGGAACCAGCAGGAGCTATCGTCAGAGATCTGATTTGGGCACCCGAGATGCCCTTACGGGCCCTTCTATTTCTTTATCTTCTGGTAACAGTAGGCAAACTGCACGAGGCAATCTGAGCAAGAACGGATTGAGAAACCTGAGGTGCAACTCCATATCTGATGTTGTTCCATCTGATTCAAGTGCAACAAGGAGAATGAACATATTTAGAAAGAAAAATTCCAACAGTGAGAGCAGTTCTTCTAGCCGAGGGAATAAGATGGCCAGGTCAGTGCCTGAGGGGAGGAATCAGAATTCTCCTCATGGAATATCAATTTCAGATTCTAGAAGGCAAAGAAACCTACCAACTAATAGGGATAACAACAGTGCAGTTTCAATTACTACGAGGAGATCAGCTGGATTTTATGGTAGAACAGGGCATCTTGGTGCTGGTGTATCCCCGGCTGCAATCATGCAAGTGCATCAGCCTGCAACTCCAGCTGATAATAACCCTACTCCTTCTGCAGAACTTTCCTTTCGCCCTTCAAGTAGTTACAGTAGGCCAAGCAATAGTAGTGACCGGTTTCATAGGGCGGCACCAGGAAGTCCCTCAGAAGTCAGCCCTTCACGTTCGTTGATGAATCGGGATGGTATAAGTCGTTCTAGCATGAACGGAATTGCAGAGGTCCTTGTCGTGTCCTTGTCCTCTGATGCCATTACAGCTTTGACATGTTCATGGCCGATTAATAGAATACTATTTTCACAATTGTTCAGGTTTTGTTGGCGCTTGATAGGATTGAACAAGATGAAGAACTAACATACGAGGTGATTAGCTGCTTGGTCCTTTGATATGAACAATCTGTGTTTGAGTTAGAGTTAGTGACACTTCCTCTGTTCGTTATTTTTGTCCTTTTTATGCAGCAACTGGTAGTCCTTGAGACCAATCTGTTCTTCAGTGGTATGAACAGCTTCTACGATCAACATAGGGATATGAGGCTCGACATTGATAACATGTCATACGAGGTTGGTCTCATCTTTCGTGTATTTCAGTTATTATCAGGTTATTTTGTCAATCTATTGATATTTTAAAAAAATGGCTTGTGGTTCTAGACTGTTATGGTTCAGAACTGGCATTCAAAGTTCTTGGCTTTCTACTGTAAAAGCAAAACAAGAAGTGGAAATGTTTTGCTTCTGGCTTTGAATTTCGGGTTATTCTCAAAACTTAATGATATGATAGTTTTGTTCACTCCTCCTTTCTTAAATAACAAAAGTTTTATAAACAGTTTCCGTCTTTAAATATTTACTAATGAAAATTCGTCCTGTGGGCATTCTGGCAGGAACTGTTAGCGTTGGAGGAGAGGATGGGTACAGTGAGCACTGCTCTAAGCGAAGAAGCATTGTCAAGAAGCCTCAAGACAAGCGTCTTTAAGTCAACTGATGAAACCTATGGCTCTTGTCTTGATGATGATGATGATGATGATGATGTGAAGTGCAGCATCTGCCAGGTCTCTTCCCTCTCCTCTCTACATTTTGCCTAAAATCTTCCCTGCGTTCATAATTCTGATAATTACCCATTAGACTAATCGAACCATATACTACCATTAGGACGATGTAATTTGGTGATTTGTAGCGGAAACCGATAAAAGGATTTGTGTGGTGCAGGAAGAGTACGTAGGTGGGGAAGAATTAGGGAGTCTGAAATGCCAGCACAAGTACCACGCGAGCTGCATTCAACAATGGCTCCGGATGAAGAACTGGTGCCCTATCTGCAAGACCTCCGCCGAATCTCCCCCGCATATCAGGACAGATTCGGCTTAGTTCTGTCAGTTTCCAAGATGATGGGAACACAAGCAAAAACTCCCACACTTTCCCGGTTTGTAATTTCTTCATCAATCAACGTGCTTGTCTCTTCATCACCTTGTGCCTCTCTTTCTTTCTTTTTTCTTTTTATAATTTGTACATACGAATCCTCTACAAATGGGCCCCGACATACTGGTAATAAATAGGATCAGGGGACACTTCCCCACCAATGGATCCCCACTTCTTCACTTTTGTCTTAAGAACAGGGGTTTGGAATGTTGGATTTGTTCCTGATGGTGTTCTTTCATTATACACACAAGATAGTTCAGAGAGGAACAGCGCAAGTGAACTCTTGCATCCAAAACTATATGTTAGTTTTTTTCTTTTACAATCATTATACAATTATAGATCTTTCCAGAGTCATATGACATGTACATGTGAGTGAGGTAAAGTTTCTACATTTTAAATAATTCCGAATTATAAAATTCCCCTCTAACCAATGAACTAATGCATGCCTTGATGTTAACACAGTCTGTTTTTATGCAATATATATATATATATATATATATATATATATATATATATATATAAAATGTTAATTCGTTAGAGCAATACGGAGAAGAAGTGGACAATTTTTTCTATATTGCGATTTGTACTAAAATCCTCTGGATATTCGTAATTTGTCTCAAGTTATAATAAGATATTTTGTTCGCTTCCAGAAGTAAAAAATCTAATACAATTACGATACATCCCTATAACGGTTAGTTACATCTCTCTGCAAATTCAATTTTTATATATATATATATATATATATAAAATGTTAATTCGTTAGAGCAATACGGAGAAGAAGTGGACAATTTTTTCTATATTGCGATTTGTACTAAAATCCTCTGGATATTCGTAATTTGTCTCAAGTTATAATAAGATATTTTGTTCGCTTCCAGAAGTAAAAAATCTAATACAATTACGATACATCCCTATAACGGTTAGTTACATCTCTCTGCAAATTCTCTATAATTACGATTAGTGTATAAAAACTGTCTTTGTAATACAAAGACGTATTCTCTTCCAAGTTGACGAAAACTTAATTTCTATTCTCTTCAAGAATTCTATTATCGTCCATTCTCAGCCTTATAAATATAGAAAATTGACATGATGTGTGTGTGTGTGGGTATATATATATATATATATATATATATATGCGTGTGTGAGTATTTATAAAAGTGAGAATAAATAAGTAAAAAACGTCGTTAATTTTTAGAAAAAATTGGGATATAGATTACAAAACATAATTGGGAAAACTACTAAAACCCTAATGTCGCAAGAAAATTTGCGGGCAAAGCAAAACAGTACTGCTAGAGATCCAGGCAACAACTTTTTTTGTCGGCCAAACGCAATAACAACCAACCGCCTGAACCGCAAACGCAGTCGCAGACACTCACAGCGACTTCCCAAAAGATCTAAGGAACACTCTTCCTTTCTTCCTTCCTATATCTCGAGACTCTGAGAATGTCTCCACAGAAACAAGTTCCCTTCGTCGAGACTCATTCTTTGAGGAACCAGTTTTTTTTTTTTAATATATGGGGATCCATATGCTATCCTTCGGGTGCACCGGTTGCGTAAATCTCCGTCCACATGCACGATCCCGCGACATACACGTGAAAAGTAAATCAACCGTAACTAACTGACGACAGTTAAGCGGGTAAAAAATCGAACTCAACCTCTCGTTATATTGACCAAACTCCTTGCCAACTCACATGGAGATTATCCATTTTAGAAACCAGTTGCCATGCGTTTGATATCGACAGAAACATATTTCGAGACATGGAAACGTAATCAGTGTGTACGAAAATATGACGAATTTCATTACAAAATGATTGTATAACCATGAAAAGATAAACATTTGAGATAAAAATATATATGTGTATATATAATTGTGAAACCAGACGCTTGATTAATTAACTCAAATAAACACGATTACACAGGTACATCAACGACATGGCTACAACCAATGCAACCTCCGTTTCAACTTCAAACAAAAAGCCCCCACCCACAATGGCCAAAAAGAAACAAAAGACAATAAACGCCAACATGCACATGCACACCGAAACACGTGAAAATGAACAAGACCCGATCAAAACAAAAAAAAAAGCACAACACAAGCTAACGAACCGAATTAATACAAACTCAATGGCAATCACGGACGTGGAAGGAATTAGGGTTCTTGACGACGATGTCGTACATGTAAACGGAGTTGAACTTTGAGAAATCTCGGGGGAGAGAGATGAGATCGATGGATGAGCGTTTGTGGAACTGAATGAGATCGCTGTCGCCGCCGTAGTACCTCTCCCAACCGAGGCTCCGGAGAATCTGCTCGAGAGATGAATACGAGGAGACAATTTCTCCGGTCGGTAAGTAGACAAGAACTTTTCTCCGACCGTGCGACGAATCAGACGACTGGTTCGGGTTCTCGACGAGACGAATCACTCCGTTCTTGAACACCCAAACTCCCGACATGGTTAGGGTTGGTGGGCTTCGTGGCTTTTTCGATTGCTTGTTCTTGTTCTGTGTGATCTGCAGACGTGCAGACGAGATAGAGATGTGAGCTAGGTTTAAGAGTGGGAAATAGTGGTTGAGACTGGAGTTGATCAGCGAGGATATAAATAGGTGAGGAGCACATTAAAATATATATATATATACACACACACATATATGCACGGATGTTATTGTATGTACATATATATGTATAGTACACATGTCTAAAAGGCAAAAGGAATAGACAGGGTGCACCAAGACATCCCCACCCAATCAAGTTCGAAGTGCAAAAAAAAGAAAAAAGTGTGTATTGAATATCATAATTTAGACGAGCTACGTTCTATTCGTTCTGTTTTAAATTCCGTGTAAGGATGTAACATATATATGGTTAAATAAATTAATAGTGAAAACTCATAAATTACACATCAAATTAAAAAAAATATACATCTTTCTCATTCTGTCGATTGATTTCTATCATTTTGTAAAAAAAATAGAATGAATTTGATTCAAGAAACATAGGTGGAACTCACATCCCCCCCCCCCAAAAAAATAATATTTATGCACATCATTACATATACAGATAAATAAAAAAAATGCTCTTTTTTTTTTTTTTATCAAATTCCGTACCTTGAAAAAATGTGGAAAATGGACACACACAAATAAATAAATAATGTATTTTGTTAATTGTATGTCGTGGTCGGCACAAAGAATCTAGATATTATGAATCCTTCTAAAGCATTGTCTTCTTCTCCATATTTTTATTTAGCATAAATTAATGTATTCTAAGTCGATCGATGGTAATTAATTCTGTTTTTAGATGGTGATATAAATTTGTATGATTTTATCGGTGAAATTTCTTTCATCATTTTATATTTATACAATTCATTAATTACCCATTTTATTTTAATCATATATGTTCACTAAACGTCTCATACTAACATGATTCGTGCTCAACACTAGGCAATGTATGTTTCCAGACAATATTTTAGATGATGATTATATTTGCCCAAAATAAAATAAAAAAGAAAAAGAAAAAGAATGAGTACAGTGAAGTTAGGGCATTGGGGAGAAGAGGAACAAGAGGCACGAGCGATGCACGTGGAAAGAGAAGAAGTACATTATGGCTTCTCTCATGTCTTCTTCCTTTCCAACATCGCCCAAAAATCTTACATTTTTACCTTCATTATTAACTAACGAATCTCATATAGTTACATACATACATACATACATACATACATACATATATATATATGTATATTGTAAGCGTATGCAAGCAAATATATTCAATCTAGTGAATCATAGAATGGTCACCATAACATCGCACGACTGTGTTTTGCTTGCTTGTCTCACTTTTTTTTCTTCTAATTTTATAAAAACAATATTTATATTTTTGTATCCTACGTGGTAAAACTAGAAGGCAAAAATGTCATACAAAATTTCTAATATTCCCAAAATTTAAACCTTAAACTTTGAGGCATCTAAAAACTAACTGAACTAAATATTTTGGATTAGAGTCTATCTATTCTGATATAGTTCTTTTCACAACGTAGATTCGGTTTGTGTAATCTTTCAATTAAAAACTGATTAATTAATTTCTTACCTAACACTGCTTTATTCGCATTCCTCAATTACTACGAGGAGATCAGCTGGATTTTATGGTAGAACAGGGCATCTTGGTGCTGGTGTATCCCCGGCTGCAATCATGCAAGTGCATCAGCCTGCAACTCCAGCTGATAATAACCCTACTCCTTCTTTACTCTGTTCATTTTCATTATATATATATATATATATATTATACAATATGACACAGACACACACGCACTCATGGTGGGGCTGACATTGTCGGGCGCATATATAAGAGAATCGCCCATGCAAACCCTCCTCCATTTACATATATTAAAATTGAAAATCCAACTGAAGCAATTCACCGGTTACCTCCCTACAAATTAATATTCTTATATATATACATATATATATATATATAATGCATGTACACACGCTAATACGTACGTCACCACCACATCGTGCGTTTTTAAAATGATATATTTTCGACAGTGAAAGAGATAAATTCGTATTCCATTATACGTTAGTAGTAAAACAGAATATGTACTCTCACTAACGTATCGGTCACGAAAACCATTGTCCTATTCAGACACGAATAGAATCAAGCAATGCGTACACACACACTACACTGAATATATATATATATATATATATATATATATATATATTTGGTAACTTATATATATATATTGAGGCGAAAAGCTAAAGATAAAGCAAACAGAAGGACAAATGATTTCGGAGATGCCTCGAATTATTTAATATGGGATTAGAACTAATTAAAGGTGTCAAGATACATGGGAATATATACAAAGGAGGACATATATTCTTTGTGAATTTATGGATATTAAATGTGTTGGACGAATTAAAATATATATTATCTAGATATAAAGATAATGGTAATTAATAAATTGGTGGGTGCATGGGGATGCATGGTTCCGAATAATTATAAATTATAAATTAACAAAAAAGTCTAACGTTGTCATTTCGTGCTTCTTAGCCATTAGGGCACTAAGGTTAGGCAATATTCCCTAACTAATTAGGACGAGAACCTCTCGTCATCTTTAGGCATAAGTTCCAACGGAATATTTTTATTTTTATTTTTATTTTACGTTTTCGCCTTCCATTTGATCGTCGAGAAGTTTTCGAGAATAGAAAGTCGAATCAACGATTTCATCGAGGTTTTAAATGACCTAGAAGTAAAATAGATCGAAAATAACCCTAAGAACACGTCTACGTACGTTGGTGGTTCATTAACATCTTAGGAACAAATTTAGGATTAATCAACGGTTACAATGAGTGTTGAAGCCAAGCATTTATTCCAAAAATTAGTTCGATTTGAGTTTAACATTACTACGGTGTTCAATACAGTGTAATAATTCAATAATAATGTTTTTTTTACCTAAATATGTAACAAAGTTTTTTTTTTGATAAAAGTAACAATGTTATTACTTAAACTATATGTCATTATTTATTGGTTTAATCACTCGCGGTTCATATAACAATTTCAGAATTTGATTAAAATTAATGATATTAATCACGAGACTTGTATAATACAATTAATCATATTACTAGAGATTGGGCCGTTATTTGTTGGGTCTATTCTTAAGTTATTTATTAAAGCTTGTTTTTTTTTTAAAAAAAAAAGGTCCTAGAGCTTCTAGGCCAAGTAGAGGCTTTGGGATAGTGGATCACTCACAAACAGCGATTTTCCTGATTCCTGGAGAAGAAACAAAATGGCGTTCCCTCTTTGCGCCCTGAAGCAACCATATCTTCCTTCTCATTTGGACAAAGGCATGTTCTTTCTCCTGTTTCAATTCTTGTAAATGCCGGTACGTGTAATTTATCATTCAAAAACTGAAAAAAAAGGGTATTGTGTGGATGATCACTAGCTTTGTGATTTGGGATTTATCAGGAAGGACGTGCCGATACGTGGGTCAAGCTGTGGTAAATCATCTGTTCAAGCTTCTATTTATGAATTGAACGATTACTTTTCTGGGTATTTGGGTTTATTGGAGTTGGGTTTGGTTCACAGAGAGCTCTGCCGATTCGGGTAATCACAACGGGGAAAAGGAGATCAGAAGGTGTTCGACTCTTGGTCGAGGAGTACAAGAGCAAGCTCAAACCCTATTGCTCCTTTGAAGATTCCATGATTCGTTCCAACCCTAGGAATGCTCAGTAAGTTGATCCGATTTGGCAAACTCAGTAGTTAGATGGTTATACCCATCAACGGAAACACTGGTTTGGTTCCTTATATTCTGTCTGTCAATGAACTTCATTCTGCAGGGACGTGATGGCTCAGGTTGAGGATGAGGACAATTCTTTGATGAAGCTTATCGGGTCGGATGATTGGGTATTGTCTCGTTAGACTGTCATCTTCATCATGTGTGTAATCGTGCTATATGGGTCTGATCGAGAGGTGTAGGTTGTGGTTCTTGACGAGGGAGGGCTTGACATTGGGTCAGAGCAGATGGCTGAGCTACTTGGGGATGCAGGAAACAGTGTAAGTTTTATGCGTTTTCTCTTTTGGAAAATATTTGGATTTGTGCTTCAAAAGGTCGCAGGGATTTACACAATCAGCTAAGTACAGTATAGGATAACAAGAACTAGCAAACGAATTCACGTGATCATTGTCTTTGGGAAATTTTGTCCTGCCTCTTGAGAAATCACTCGAAGCCTTTGTTCCATTCAGTCAAAATGTAACATTAGATGCGGTGAAAATTAATCTCACCTTCGAAAAGACTATCTATGCGATAAGGAAAGGTTTATGCGGAACTTCTAGATGCTAAAAAGAGAGTATCTACAGCTGAGTCATGGTGTTTTTTTTTTGCTTCTTCTGGAGCTGTCTCTGTTTCCAGGGAGCTTCAAGGATATCGTTTTGTATCGGTGGGGCTTATGGACATGGAAGTAAAATAAGGAAGAGAGCTAATGTGACCATCAAACTGTCTTCCATGGTCCTGAATCATCAGATTGCTCTGGTGGTGCTGATGGAACAGCTTTACAGGTGACATATTGTTGCTCTTGTCTTTTGAAACTCTTCACTGCCTTTAAGTGTCAGCATTTACATGTGACACATTTTTGCTGTAATGATCTTTGTGTTTTCTTTTTCCAGATCATGGACTATTCTCAAAGGCCAAAATTACCATCACTGAATCTCTGTTTTTTGCCTGATCTTTGTCCTCCTGGGTATTCATTCCTTCAAGGACACAATGCGTAGTTGTAATGTGAGCTAGAAGATGTATATAAAAAAGTTTAGTGCATCAAGGAATCAGACAGCCCAATGATTCTCATACCATAAAGAGTTCATATCTCAAAAGGAGAAAGGACACTCAAAAGAACAAATGGTTTTTGGGGACACATCAAACTGAACAGCTTTAGGAAAGGAAGCCTTGGTTCAGGCTACAAGCCGCCAACATGTCTTCAGTAACTTTGACTTGGTATTAACTTGTTCAGTTTGTGTATTAAAACAAAATAGTATTTAGAGTTATTTTAACCATTCTTGTAGATTCTGGTGGATTCCTTCTGCACGTCTTAGTCCCAAGTTTATTTGGGGAATTATTCCTTTCCATTCGTTTTGATTTGTGCTAACTCTTCCGAAATTTGCAACAATTTTTAATCATTCCCAACGATGCGTTCACAAGAATTGAAGGCTTCATGCGAAGAAAAAAAGAATGACATTTCTCATCTTGGTATAATTTACATTTTGCCAATTCTCTAGCTAAGTCCCTTTTTTTTTTCCTTGTAATTTTGTCATAACAAAACAAAAGTTTATGGGTTTAATGTGCTATCAAAACAAATGAAGAAGAATCGAGATTACAATGTACATGAATCATGGGCCAAATCTCAACAGGAAGATCCATCCATGGTGCTCTTCTTCACCAAAGTAAGACCTTTCTGCAAACTCCAAATTATTATCACCTACACAACCGACACAAATGTTGTAATGTATCATACTAAGCAACACATGAAATCATGTCTGACCAAAAGCAAACATATATAATCACAAATTCACATTCTTTTCTTCCTGACATAATTTTCCTGTGATATAAGGCACTGTAATTTCATGTTTCAAAGCAGAAGTAGAACCTGAGACAGCAGTTTGGCTGTTGCTGTACACAGTGAAGAAACAGCTCTTCGAGCCCCCAGACTCGTCGATGTAATCTGAATGCAACTTCGTGTTGGGTGCAAAAGCTGTGAAAACATAACATATAACTTGATATTTCCTCCTGAAGAATCGAGTGCTCTCTCACACAGGAAATCAAAGCAATAGTGATACCACTCGGATAAACATCTTGGACCAAAGTCAGTTCTCAGTGCCTAACCCTAATGACAAAATCTCTATCTCAGACTGCTTTAACTGTCTGATTCCTGGATCATCGGAAGAAGTTTAGACAATGTAATGAGCTGGAACAAACCCTCATAAGCAAACTGAATATCGCAAAAGGGCACTCAACTGTTCCTGTAAACTTCCTGTCAGGTGATTGAATCGTGACTCGTGAGCAGCACCAATGTTACTTATTGCAGTCAGCACATTCCTG